ACCATCAAACTCGCCCGAGGAAGGCGCAAGTAGCACCGCCGATGAGGGAGGCTCCGCGGCTGCGGCTTCGGTAGCGGGGGAGGGGGGGGCAGGAGGGGTGGGGGGTGGGGAGGGGGTCCCGCTGGTTGAGCTCAAGAGTTTCACGACGCAGGCGTTTTTCACGTGCTGGAGGGCGTTGCACCTCGGCCTCTTGCAGGTCATTCCCGCGTGTTGTTGGGTTGTTTTCTTGAACGTTAGCAATGCGTGAGGGTATGTTTAGCAAAAGAGAGAGCGCACGGAGGGGGTCACACCCTGGGGTTAGTGTTGGCCTTTTGTTTAATGCTGTAAGACAAGCCCGCCTTCAGCGGCTATTGGTTAACCTTGGTGTTCTTCGGCGCTATACATTTCTTTTAGTAATGTTCGCGGAACAACCAGAAAGAGGCGGGCTTCACTCTTTCTCGCATACTCGGACGCCTCAACAGCTTGCTGACTTTAATTGATGCTGCAGGTGATGGGCAGACATGATCGGCTTCATCAGCAGCTTGGCCACCTGTCGAGGGAGATGGGCGGCCCGGGCAACCCTAACCCAGATCCGCAGATGGACATGCACTTCAACATGTTCTTCCAGAGGAAGCTGGTGGCTGAGGTGGTCATCTTGGTAAGAATGTTGATGTCGTCGTTTCTGTTTGTTGGCACCGGTTATCGTCTCGTTGCCGCTGATGTCTTGGCAGTAGTGGTCAGCCGGTTAGGGTAGGCTTGAAGACGTTCAAAGTGAGCTCGGGCAACCACTGTTGTTGTTGTTGTTGTTGTTGCTGTCGCCAATGTTTCTGTAGTGTTGATGTTTTCTTTGTTATTGATGTTGGTCCTGTCGCTGACGGTTCTGTTCGCACTGCTGCTGATCTTGCCGTGGGTCGTGTTGCTGTCTTGTCAATTGTTTTGCACGCCCCTCTTCGCCTTCCGTCTTGTTTGGCGACACTGCCGCCTTGACCTTTCAATAACTGCAACACAAAGATGGTCATTTAGACAGCTTAGCTTGGCGTAAATTCGTCAAAGCTGCGATGTGCGCATGTGTAGTGAGTGCGGTGACTCTCTACTCATGATGGTCGAATCCCGCGAGGGCTCTGTCACACCCACTCCCTCGCCACAGACAAGGTGCCGTATTTAGCGGGTTGATTTCAAAGAGTTGCGTGTGGGCAAGAGTCTTCGCAGTCCTGCTGACTTTGTTATGAGCCTACGGGCTTGCTTTGAGCACGGGTAGACTTTCGAGACGAGCTTACGTCACCAACAAACAGCGCAAACAACAAAGATGACAACAAGAGCAACCACCGCGAACACCGCCCTCCACGACCAATGGCAACAACTAACTGCGCCGCAGGACCCAGACGTTCTCGCCGACTCCCTCATGTTCATGGTGAAGGCCGGGTCGTGGCTGACGGAGTTCGTATCGAAAGAGGCCGGCGTCGCTATCGACTCCTCGGAGCACGAGATCTCCTCCAGGGGCTCGCTCGCGGGACTGTCAGAGGTGACATTATTAACTTTTATGTTTTTTTTTAGTGTTTGGTTCCGGGCGACATGTGCGAGTACATGCTGCTTACTTGCAATTGGGGGATCGGTTGACGGTTGAAGCGACTATAATAGCTCCGCTGACATATATGGGTACATGCAGGTTACTCGCAAAAGAGCGATTAATTGGCTTTCGAAACTTGTGTAGTACGTATGAGTAGTCCAGTGCTTTTATCTCTTGAGATTCTAGAGACTGCGGTGTCTAGTCAACCTCGATTTTGTCTTACATTTGCGTCACGTTAATTGCAGTCGAGAGTTGACAAAGTGATTCGGAGTGTTCCGGCGGTTGCGGTTGGGATGATGATAACCATCCCTTGCATTGTAATGCCACGGCGTGCCAGCCGAATTCATGGGCACTAGAAACGGCATGCCGCACTATGCGGAGTATAAAGCAACTATGACTTATTACCATCTGTTGTGCTCAAGTCACGGGCACGATGGCCAGCTCCCTACACTTGTGGAGACCCCCCCGACTGCCGTTGGTCTAACAACTAAGGTATGCAAAGCTGAGCATGCCCCACTGTATTTAGTGTTAACTCGGAGAGCCTCTGCTTTTGGCGCGTGATTTTTGCTCATCAGGATTCATTGATGTGGGAGTTGCCGGAGCATCTGATCGAGGATATCCTTGAGCTCATCCTGTTCCTCACGAACTACCATCCCCAGACCTTGGGGACTAGCCAGCTCTACCCGTTGATGACCATGGTAAGGAAAGGGGATGGTTGCTCGATGGGCAGCATGGGAAGGTGTGAGATGGAGGGTAAAATAATGCGTGTTTGGTTCACGGGCTACTGCTTACGGTGTCTCACGCGACAAAGGAAGAAAAAACATTGAATGAAAGAACGTCATAAATAGAATAGCGACTCGAGAATTAGGTGTGATCGATTATGGTAAGCGATTACATGCTCTCTTGATTAGTAGAAATGACTCGTATGCGTCCTTACGTCTGCCCGGTCGGCGTCCCCTCGTAACCATTGTCGCCATCGGCGTTGTCATCTTCCCTATAGAGAAAACTCACAGCAGTCTTTCACGAACGAAAGCAACAGGAATCATCAACAAACGAATCAAGCAGTAGCGCGATCGCATAGCTTTTTGCGTCGGCATGTTCCTTGTGATCGTTTCGCATGGCCCCGCATCGCCGTGTAGTTGTTACCCTTGGATGCAAACCCGGTACCAGTGGCTGCTTGTTCACAGATACACCATGGTAGTCTACAGGAGACAAAACAGGCACGGATTGCCCTGCTTATGCATACCCCGGCTAATTACCGAAACGTTTTTTGACCGTTGGTTCGGTGCTGGGCAGGTGGTGTTCTTCTTGGCACACCCTTCGCTTGTGAAATCTCCCCACCTGCGAGCATCGCTGGGCGACGTGCTGTACAAGGCTTTCCTTCCGAGGTCGGAGCGGGGCAACGAAGACCCGTACGGTGTGTTTGGACCTACGGCATGAGTGCCGTAGCAGGCAAGGGCAAATTGGAGACAGCAGTGTGTGGTGGTTGTTTGTGTGCCTCCAAGATTTTTTTTTTTTGCCACATGTAGTTGGCATGTCTGAAAATAATTTGACAGCTATCGGTACACTGGTTATCGCTGACGAAGTACTGTTGCTGGAGCCAACTATTCGTGTGCTTCAAGAACAGAGGAGGGGGGCACGCGGCTGTTGGGGTTTGGGTACCCAATGTGATCGCGGTTTCGTTACCCATGTAACAACGGAAAATCGGTGGTCTGTCCGATTGGAGTGTACCGTGAGCTCAATGGTGCGTTCTCGAATCGTGTGGCTACTTTTACCGCCGTTGCCGGTTGATAAGACTGGTTGCTGAACCGACCCTGAGTATACTGTAGTTAACCCAGAGAAGAGGAGATAGATGCTCGACTGGAATGACTGTACGAGAGTTTTTGCGTTACCCGCTTCCAGGGATTGGTTTATAACGCAGAAGGTGCTTGCCGGTACTTGCGATCTGTTTCGTCGCGTCCAACCAGGTGCACCGTTGGGAGGCGATGCGCACACGGGGCTTCTGTACTCTCATCCCCTAGCGCAGAAGCACCTCGCGCCGTCGCTGCTTCTGCTCTACGGAGATGTGGAACACACCGGGTACGTGCCCCCTGTGTTTGGGTCGAGTGAATGCTGCGTCTCTTGCCACTCTATTTTCTTGTTCGTGGTACTATTTACCATGATGATCGTGCTTCCTTCGCTGTTGAAAGATTCAGTGTCAGGTCTTTGATCCTTCTGATTTTTGCTGTTGGGATGTTGAACGTTAAGCCTGTTAAGTCTGTCAATTCTAGTCACCTGCCTCCGGGAATATCGAACGTTGGTTGTTCGGCCCTCCGCACCTGGTCGTAAGAATACTCCAGGCTGGTCGTTCAACCCTTTCAGTTTGTTGGTCCTTTTCCAGCCCTTATCCTAAGGTTAACCATTTTTCTGTGTGTTTTCGTCCTATTTATTATGGCGACAGTCCCCCCATTGTTCGTGGTGACCTTAACCTCTTTGCAATGTAGATTTCTCGATCCAAGCCAAGGGTGCGGAGAAAAACGGGCCCAGGCAACATGCTCCATACACTGGAGATATTGGAATGACACGCCTTATGTATCATGGCGCATCGCCCAACATCATGGGTATGTATCCGGGTTGGCATGGGCATGACGTTTAACACCGTCTTGTGCCAATGCTCTGTCTTTTGCGCTCCGCACAGCTTTTACGAGAAGCTTACGCACCGGTTCTACATCGCCGCGGTACTCAAGTACCTCTGGAAGAGCAAAGAGCACAGGTGCGTGAGAGCCATAAACTCCACTTAGAAACCGCCCCAAGGAGTATGTAGCCTTGGGTCTGACACCGCCCCTTGAGAATAGACGGCACTTTTCAGAGAGTTTTAACAGACGCCTCCTGCGGACGGCCAGCAAAAAGTTCGCTTTCGCGTGTTGTTGTTGTTGTTGTTGTTTAGTTCCTAAGCCTTGCTCTAGGGTTAAACGAAACACTTGCGCACAACTGTGACACGATGTTGGTGTGTTACCCGAGGTCTGCGCGTAGAGGTAGATTAAGTGCACGATCTTGGGGTTGTCGAGATCCCAGTGTGCGAGAGTGAAGGCTGAAGGAGTAGCCGTGGCGACGAGGCCCCGTCATGCAGTAGGTTAGTAGAACACTTGGTACCACGTGCTGGCAGATTTGGATAGGAATGGCACGTGTTACGTCCACGACGTGCTGCTGTTGCTTTGGCACTTACGACAAATGGTGCGCTCGAGACTCAGTCCGTGCAAGTGAGAACATCAGCAGTGCTGCTCCCAAAACAAGGAGTATTTGCCCGGCACCACACTGCCATCGTGACCCTCGCACAACGCTCTTAAAAACGCACATCAAACTGCACTCTCCCAGTCCAAAACCTAACATCCTCAATCCTAACCCCGACCCATAAACAACTATACAACCCGAGCGTCAGGTCAACTTTCAGGCGCATCTCGCAGGATACGGCAAAGTTCGTCCGTTTCGCGAACGGCCTCATGAACGAAAGCAACTCCTTGGTGGCATCGGTGATGGAGAAGCTGCCTGAGGTGCGGGCGGTGCAACTGCAGATGCGAGACCCTGCGCAGTGGGGTGCGATGACGGAGACTCAGCGAAACGAGATTGCGGAGAGGTGTGTGAAGCACGCGTCGATTTTTTTTTCGTGTTCGAGAAACGGCGTTGATTTCTACTGATCTATGTGTGAACGCCCTCTCGTGGATATGTGCTGCAAAGCATTTTTTTCGAACAACAACGAGGCTTCACTTCCCATACCACAGAACCATGCCCAACGTGGTCCTCCTTTCGCTAATTTTCATGACTCTGCCGCCTCACAGCTTTCGCCTCTTGCCCCGTCGATACGTTGTAATCTTGTTTGTTAATTGCGAACGGGATGTCTGTACCAGACACGATGAGAACGAGAGATCGCTCAAGTCCAACCTCAGCCTGTGCAACGAGACCCTTCACATGGTGGCCTACCTTACGTCGGACCCCGACATTCAGAAGGTACCATTTGTCTATTCGCTGCTTGGTGTTTTGTTTTACTGTCGTCGTCTACTTTTTGGCGGTTCAGGTTCAGGTTTCTGCTGGTGGTGTCAGTTGCTGTTGCGTGAGGAACGAGAGTGTCGCAAGAAAAGCGCACAACGTGCAATAAGCACAAAAAATTGGAAGTGTCGCCCACGGGAGCGTACCGCAAGTCCACCTCAAAATCAGCTGTAAGAAAATACTTGTAGTACTGTAGTCAAGATAAAACCGTCAATTTTGTGCATGTTCTCTCCTGTGGCACTGCCTATTTATTCGTGCCCCCCTCCATATTTTTTTCGGAACGCCATGCACTGGAAAAGCAATGAACACTGCTTTCCCTGCAGACACCATGCAACTGGTATCGCCGGCGAACTGGAAGCAAAACGGCCTACCTTCGAACTTATAGTTTTTATCGCAACAGACTGCGGAATACGAGGGGTGTCCACACTACAGTATCACGGTGCCCCTTTGTCTCGAAGCGACCCTTGGTTTGAGAGCCAAACGACCAAGGCGCGCAGCGAACGAGTACTGTACCCCCACTTCTCAACCAGCGCCCGCAACACACACTGCCCCTCTTTCTCCGATCGCAACCGTTGCGAGACAAGCCGTTCTTGAGGGAGGAGCTGCTGCTGCGGCTGGCCGAGATGCTGCTGTGCGTTCTCAAACAGCTCGTGAGTGACGTTATTCCGGTTCGCTTGGTCCGCCCGCGCTTCTCCGGTGGCAATCGGCTGCTGTGATGTGCACGAAAACTATGCGATCGCTTGTTAATTTTTCAGGGAGATTGTTCTTGCCATGTTTGATGCTGATACAGTACCATGTTGGGGACTTGTTGTGCCATACATAGGAAAATGGGCATCCCGATCATCTACGGTACATGTTTGTTTAGAGGATGTGATGCCACGTGCAGTCGACGATTCTCGCCATGTCGTCCCTGCCGTCACTCTGCATAACGGTTGTGGGCAAGGAGAATGCGCACCCAGAATCTTGTTTAACGTCATCAAATGATATGTGATGATTCCACTGCTGCCGGCTACGCCGTAGTGCCTGCACGGATCGAGTCCATGGCGTCAATTTTGGTATGTGATGATGCCACTGCTGCCGTGCGATGGCGTGCTGCCCTTAACTGCGCTAAACAGATCGGGTCCAAGGGACTGGAGATCAAGGTGGAAAACCCCGAGAGCTACAACTTTAGGCCCAAGGAGATGCTGAGAGAGATCTGCACCACTATCTCGCAGTTTTCGACCCAACCCGGCTTCCACAAGGTGTGATGAGATAGCCTCGACATACCCACTCCTCGCAGTTGTCAACGTGCATGGGCTTGTGACGCTGTGCGGTAGATACATAGATTTTTCCTAAGTGTTCTCTCCCTTCTTTGGCTTACCTCGTCGTGTACCCCCCCCCTCCCGTTTAGTTTCGCCCATTTAGCACGTGGCGGGTACTGACCGTCCGTGCACCGTTCCCTGTTTCGTGTCACATACGCTTTTTGCGTGAACCAGCATCTGGCCATGAGCGGGTACTACCAGGAGGACTTGCTTCCCAAGGCAACTTCGACGATGCGCCGCCTTCAGCTACTGCCAGCCTCTTGTATGGCCGACATGGACAGCCTTTGCAGGCGAGCAACGACAACGCTGCACTGAACGTTGGTAGTCCTCTGGGGGCGAACAGTGAGAGTGTTATCCCGCACCGTCGGATGTGGAAAGAAAGGATGGCACAATCCCCGAACAAATCGGTATTGACTCACAGTACAGTCGTGCGGCCTCCAAAGTGCGGGCCGATTCACTTGCCCTATAGTGTAGCAAGCACCAACCCTGTTCAAAGCATGATCACTTTCGATGTGACTGCTGTTTTATCCATCATGCAGCGCTGTGATCGAGGCGAGGGCCTCGTACGAAGCTTCGGAGGCGTCTCTGGGCGAAGTCCCGGACGAGTTCTTAGACCCAGTTCTCTGCCACGTTATGCGAGATCCTGTTCTTCTGCCCACCAGCGGAACCATCTTGGACAGGTGAGGGAGGGGGAAGGGGGATTCCTCTCTGTTGTTGGGATGTTTGATCGTTGGCCAAGCAACCACCCCTTTGTAGACGAGACTGGGCAGGCGACAAAGGACGAAACACGTTTAGTGCCGTGATTCGATAGCGCATCTGTTTTGTGTTTTCGTATGAGCGAGTTTCAGCTTTTGACGCACGCCGCTGCAAGTTACACCCGACAACATGCCATGCGTAACAATCGGTGAGCGTTTGTTCCACCCTGTGCGTGTCGGAGTGCTGGCATGACATTCGGCGCAGAAGGACAAGCATGAGCTGCGCAGCAGGAGCAGAGCAGATGGCGTCGGCTTCTTTGCCAAGACGTTCCCGATTTACCCCACGTCATCCCCGCACCCGCGAGTGATTTGGGTAGTTTCTAGCGCATGATGCCTATCTATCCATGGCCCCGAACGAAAACACACGCTCGTGGTGTCCACACAGGTCCACGATCGTCCAGCACTTGCTGAACGACAGCATGGATCCTTTCAACCGGCAGCCTCTCACGGAGGACATGGTCGAGCCACAGACCGAGCTTCGCGAACGCATCGAAGAGTTCCTTGCACGGAGAGGAAGCCAGTCTGGTTGATCCGCGGCTTTTGCCCATGCTGCTGCTGTGGACTATGCACAAGGCAGAATCAAAATAATCTTCCCAGCGGTATCAAGAGTCTGAGATGTTTGTCTCTACGGCATGTTGAAGTGCCGATATACCCTTCAACGTTGCCTTCGTTCATGACAACTTCCTGTGTTGCAGGTCCTGTGTGGGAGCCTCCCCCATTGACACGATCGCTGGAGAATGTTGTCGTTTTCAAGTGTTTTTTGTCTTTGTTCTAACAAGAAACTAGGTATTTGGAAGAGCAGGGTTCATGCAGGCACATTCGATTTGAAGGAAGAACCCATCCGTAGGAGCGTTCCGAGAATCATGGGAGCTCGGGAGACCACTGCTGTTGGATACACGGATCTTCCACGTGCCACTTGCCGACATGAGCGGGTGGACCACTTGCGGCACCGACAAGTTCACTGTCTTCTGAACCCTATCTCCTTGCTCCTTGCCCACGTATTAACGGAGGAAACCTGCCTGCCCTCCTCGGTAGCGCGCTAAAGCTATCACGACCTTGGGAACATTCGGCCACGTCGCCTACACAAGAGTGGTCAGGTTATTGCTTCGTGTTTGGTGGCTTGGGTGCTTGCTGGTTGTAGCACAGCCCTCCGCATCAATAACAAGGCAGTCCTTCCTGCCAACAGCGTCGATTGCTCGTGCTTGCGTGGTCACGTACATCTTGATCTATACCCTTGGGCCCAAGTGCGAAGGGGACAGGAGCAGGACCTGACACTTGCCTTGAAGACAGATGAGCCACTAAATAGATACAGAAGCAAAAATACCCTGCCGTCCTCCAGTTCTCTAGTTCGTTGGTATCCCCGGTGAAGACTTCTGCCGCTCACCATCCGGGTGCTATGTACTGGTACAACGAAATACACAGTGGACACCTTCTGCAACTCTAACTAAACATCCTGAGATGTCTTAACAACGTTTTTCGCTCATCAAGAAGGGTCTTGAACACCGAAGATAGCAGCTTGGTTCTCACTCTCACCTCGCGACATTTGTCCGTTGATAAGGGGAGCAAATCGTACATGATGCATGCGGACATCTCCAATACGTCCAGAGTACTCAACGACCATCCACCGCCCAGAACTGAGCTCCTGATTTGGGCCTTCCGAACCAACAACTCCACTGTACATTTTGCGAGTACGTGCGCCGTTCGCACCTCTCGACACACACCTGTACACAAAAGACGACACGCAGAGCTAGTGAAGTGGACCCTTGGACAGCCAGAATCCACACTGTCCTTGGCCTCGATCACACTGATACAGATATTCCACTTGTCCGTTTCTTTTCACGCGCGCCTTGAGCGAGGCCGGGACCCGGCACCGACAGTCTGGGACAGGCAGCAAGCATGCCGGAAGGCTCTCCTTGCGCTCTCGAAGCGTGATGCTGATCCGCTTGGTGCCTGTTGATGTAAAACCAAGGTTAGGCTTTATCGGCGTGTGAGCTCCGTTTTCGTCGGGTGGCTAGGGTGATCTGAGAGAGAAGCAAGTGCTCACAAGCTGGCGTCACGCGCTGTGCACAAAACACATGGCTCTCGAAACGCTTTTGTTCCGGAGTCCAAGACTATCTGCGTGTTCTCTGCGTGTCCACGCATACCGTATGTTATCAAGACTGCGCACCACACGGCACGACTTTCGACGACAGCGTGCGGAAGTGACCACCAGCACCTGATGGCGATCACCCCACAAAATCATCACAAGGCCTTTTGGCGCGCAAAAGCAAAACAGACCTGTGGTCTTGATCCCGGCTTAACCACAACGTACCGGTGAGCAAGCGAATGCTTGCATGTTGTCTCTGCGCTCTTGGACGCGGGACACTTTACTTTCCAGCTGCTTCCTGTAAGGACGTTTACTCCAATGTGTGGCTCTGTTGTCGTGCAGGAAGCAGCAGCAGCTAAATCTCACCGGACATAGGGTGGGTGCCAACCCCCTTTGACATGACAGGCACGCTGTGCTTGTACCTCTCTTGGCAGCCGGCCCACATGACGATCGCACAGTTGTGAGGCATGTCGAGCGACTGGGGCACAGTTCGTGGTCGAGCACGTGCGGCGCGGAAAGGCGCGGGAAGAAAGTGAAACGGGATACATCTCGCCAGCTGCGACGCATATACAGCGGCGGCAGGCGTGCGAGACCCTGCTGACAAGTCGCTTTCAAGACAAGACCTTGAGGAGAGAGACATGCGTCCCCAAAGCTTCGGACAAGCCAACGGCGCGGCATTGCTGATGATATCATGATATCACCCAGCCGACTGAACAGGGCGTGCATTGTGCGACCGTACCACGCAAGTACCCACGGCTTCGAGGCCGTAAGACGAGCATACCAGCCGCAGCAACGCATACGTGGCCCACCATCACCTTCTTTCCCCCCTCTGATCCGCTGCCGGCTGGGGAATGCTTCACGCCCCTCGGCAGCGTTTCCTCCACAACGAAGACCCGTTTCGCCCCCAAGGACACCCCAACAACGATCGCTCGCGGACCGATGTTCGAGAGCGTGTCGCTGTGCGCGCCAAGGTGATTCCTGCATGCGGGGGGAGGCCGTACATGCCGCAATAGGTTGCTTGTTGAACAGCTCTCTCCGGGATCAGCGACTCTTATCCTTCCACAAGTGTGTCATCAGGTGCACGCTTGCCCCAATGGAAGTGCGTGCAAAGCGCAGTGGGTCATGCTTCTTAATTACCTGTGGTCGTCATACACGTGGCAGATACAATAGTTCGGGTTCCAGCGCAAGCCCTCGCTTCCCGCCAACCTGTCCTCCATGCGCTGCCGTTGCCGCCTGGACACCAGAAGCACAGCGTGTCGGCCGACGGAAGCGACAGGGACGCACACGCATCAAGAAATTGACAACGCCGAACAGAGTTTTGCTTAAACGTGACTTGTGGCCTCTGTGTGCGTACCTACCATCGCATGACGACACACTACCCACTGGTTCCTGCGCTTCGGGCAGCTATCACCTACCGCCTCGCCCCCGAGGCAGCCATCAGCACTCCCAGTGACGGACAGAAATAGCGAACCAACCCCAGTCCAATAACGCCGACCGGCTCAACTATTAATACAACCTCTCGCACGAACACATGTTGCCCCAGGTGTCCTGTTGCTCGTGTACCTTCGAACAACCTCCACGATGAGAGGGACAACGTCAAGTAGCTCCGCGGGGGCTACAGCCAAACTCTTGTCCATTCCCTCCTCGTGCGTTGCCCGCCTGTCTTCGTCGGTTGAAACCTCCTGCTTGTCTTGAGCCTCCGGGCCGGATTCCCACTTCTGTTTCATCGCGCCCTCCGAAGCCCGCCCGCTGCTTCTCACGTCGCTCGCGTTTGGGATGCGGTAGGCGCGCGAGCGAGAGTGTGTTCTGCCCTCCAAACCGTTGGCGTTGAACCACGTTTGTGAAGTCCAGTCGCGCGACAGTTGCAACATTCGCGCCAACAGCCCTTCCGCCTTGTCACGGGGCAAGAGGTCCTGGTGCGTTGGGGGTAAGCAAGACTGCAATCAGCCACCATCGTTCTGGAGGTTTGTCGTCACGCAGTTGCGTGTGAATATACGAGAAACTTACTTTACGTTTATCAGAGAGGAAAATGCGACTCGTCGGGGAGCGCGAACTGCGTGTGACTTACACGAGAAACCTACTTCACGCTTATCAGAGAGGAAAATGCGACTGGTCGGGGAGCGCGAAGGACTATCATGAAGGCAGAAATAAAAGCTGTAAAAGTGCGCACGATGGCAAGGGAAACTCGTCTGATGGACAGCACGCTAAAACTATTTTGAAGGCACACTAGTATGCTGCACAGAGCTTTACACCTCTATACAAACTACCGCGATGCGGGAAGCCAATGAATGCTAAGCGTTGAGCGCTCCATACCGGAGGTGAGAAATGTGCCAGCATCTCACCTCTACACACTCCACGGGCCAGACGGGTGGAATGATCCTCTCCTCTCGTTCGGCCTTGACAGCTCGTTTTCCTCCCTCCATAAGAGTCTGCGGTATCATCGATACATCAGCATGTTGGGATGTACCGCACGAGGGAGAATCAGTGTGAAAACCAAAGTGGGGAAGCACCCTGGGATGCGTGTACGTACGGGGCACCTCGACGGCGGGAAGCTCAAGCTTTTGTGTCAGTGCGAGGGGGGTGGGGGTAGGGAGGGGGGAAATCAAGGTGCACGGTGGTCTAGCGCCAAACGCTTTCAACCATCATCATCGGGTTGGTTTCGTCCAAAAATACAAACCTGAAAACGAAGCTCACTCTGCAAACTCGAACAATGGATCTGTTCAACATCTTGTCTCGAATGCTCGACGCGTCTATTCAAGGGCCACGCGTAAACGAGAAGGAACCCACTGGTGTACGTGACTAATCCGCTGTTGGACACCTCGCTATACTGTAGTCTAAGTGGCATGGTTGCGCATCACGCAGAAAAGCGACCCGCTTGTGATGCACGGAACAACAGAGAGCATGTTTTCGTCACAATTGAACTACGTCCGGGCGAGAGATCGCTTCTTGTTCGCGGTGTATGCATATGAGATACAGCATGCATGCGGAGAGGACCACCTATAGCTCAAACGCGCACATCTTCAATACCAGTCACATGTCACAACCTTCCAGATTGTAGGTGTAGGGCGCTGTCTCTCTCTCCGGCAGTATACTCGATTGTGTGTATGTTGTGGGGGAGGGGGGGCACGCGCGGTGCGTGTGCGAAGGCCACATTGCACGAACTTTCGTGCCGATTCGCCTACACAAGGCTGGATTTGATGTAATCAAGTGGGATTCGACTTTGCGCCACAGGAATCGCTGCCAAGATATACGGGTAAATCGTGTACGATGAAAATGAGCGGGGACATTTCCCCCCACCCCCAAACAAAACGAGCGATACTCAACTACTCCGGGACTGCGACTCGAATCTGCACGTGTTTTCAGGATCCGATTCTTCGACAAGGCGCAGTCCTACCGCCAGACCGCCAAGAACATTGTTTGATCCCGTGTTCTAACATCGGGCGAGGCTTGCCTGCATCGCATTCCTGCCCTCGCTTGCCTGCGGCACGTGCTTGGGTGCTCCACTATCAACGCAGTTACTTTTTCCTCCTTCAGCTGGGATCAGATGTGTTTCAGCCGCGGTAGCTTTGGGCTGCTGCTCCGCGGTGTGATTGCGGGCCTGGAACTCTCCGCTGTTGTCCAGCAAGATGTTGTAGGCTTCCTCCGTTGCTGAAGCTTGGCCCGTGCTCAACGGGTCTGTGGACATTGCTCCGTCATCCGCGGGGGGCGGCCGACATTCCCACGCGTGAATCTCGATCGCATGCTGGGGGAACATCCTTGAACACATCGGGCAGAGCACCAGCATGCCTGGTGCCTCTCTGCGTTCTCCGCCAGCACAGCTTTGCTGCTGCTGTTGACGCGTCCGGTCAGTACCGCAGTCCCAAGCATGTTGTTGAAGTGCCCTCGCAAGAAACGATTTCCCGCACGCGGGGCACGGGAGGAAGCGAGAAGGTCCCGGCGCCACTGGGGCCCGTGGGCGAGAACCCGGGTCGTTGGTAGCTTTGCGCTTGCCCGGAGCCATACCGAGTCTTGTTTCACCAATGTCCAACGGTCAACAACTCTGGCAATGCGGCATGCAACAAGGCTGCACGGCGCTGGCACAACCTGGACGTCACCGAAAAATGCACGGAGGCATGCATATCTAGAGTATATTCCTCGTCCTGGCTGCCTCTCTGCGTCGGAGAAATAGAATTGGCCTCCGCCAGGACCGTGCTCTGCTTTCAAACTGTTAAGTAATTGACACACCAGTGGTCCGAGAAATTTATCAGCACCTCATGTCCACAAAGCCTGTCTCCTGCTGTCTGTCCCTTGCTGTCTGTCTCACACACGTTTCAGACGAGGGGGCCCCGCAAAATGTACAGCAGCCACGCCAAATCTCCGTAATCAGTATCGAACGCGGCGCTGGCGCGGGAAGCCAAACACAAATTGGCGAATGCGCCTGTGGGTAAGGGCTATCCCTTTCGCCCGAGTCTCAATGCCGCTTAACCCGCACGCTACTCCGTTTGTCATCAAGGGCTCAGGTGGTGGTGCAGCTGCTGATGATGGTGGGAAAGTTAGGGGCATATCCTCCTCCTCTCCTCCTCCCAAGATTTTCTGCGATCTCGATGGTTGCTTGGTTGATTTCGAGAAAGGTTGCCAGGCGGTGATGGGAGAGACCCCTGACAAGCTTCGCCCCAAGGCCATGTGGGGAGGGCTCGCTCGAGCCAGGGGCTTCTGTGAGTTTTTTACTTGTGTGTAAACACCGCTCCTGCCGGTGTAGCACTTGGTCGTGATCGATTGCACGGAACATGCGAGCACTCTCGTATAGGCTAGACTAGACTATGTAAGATCCTACCGTCGGAGTATGTACAATAATAGCTGACGCCTGAAGGTCCGTTCACAGTCATTTTTTTCTTCACTTTTTAATTTTTACCACCCCGGGGTGGTAAAAATTAAAACATGCAATATTTGTGCCCCCTTTGATTGGCGAAACTAAAAAAGTGAAGAAAACAAAAACTGTGAACGGACCTCAAATGTCGGCGCATCAATTACGTCGTCTACGATCCCCAGTTGTGGAACTTTGCAACACCGTGACTTTGTGAGGAGCCGCTGCAGATCGACGTAATGGCGACTAACGTGGGTAGATTACAATACAGTATGTGTAACAAGTCTACATGTAGACCTTCAACACCAACCCTTCGTCTCCGAGCGGGGCCGAACTTTCGGGTTTTCAATTGTTGTGCCAATCGACGCACCGACTCTTCGCTCCACGTTCCCGATTGAGACACGGCGGGTGGTCGTGACTGCGGCCGTGGGTTAGTCTAGTCTACGGGTGCATTTTGGACTACTTGAGGTTGTTGGGTAGTTGTACAGCTGTAGCTGCTGAGAACCAGCCTTGTGACATCTTCAACTTCCACAGAGCACAATAGGCAACGATGTCCGTGTTCCTCTGCTGCTGCCTACCGCATCTCACGCGCCGGTCACAACCTAGTAGAGTTAAATGGTACTCGATACCAAGTGTAATGCGGGCAAACCTGAACAGTGCTGCCGTTCTTTCCTTTCCATGCGGAAAGACGAGCACTTGGATTGGATGCCGGACGGACGAGAGTTGTGGGACGGCGTGGCTCACCTTCAACCAACTATTCTCACGGGGCTACCGATGGGAAACTGGGCGGAGCCACAGAAGGTAGGTGGGCTACGCCTGTATCCTGCCCTGCCATATCTTCACGTCTCAATGTATCGTCATTTTTCTTTTTCTCTCTCTGCCTTCGATAATAACAGCTGGCTCGAGACATTAACAGCTGCCTCAAGGTAAAACTTGAGAACGTTGAGCACGATATGGGTTCACACGTTCGAAAGGGAAAGCACCGCCTGGCGTAAAAATGAGTGCCCTAATCCAAAACGCTGCCCCGCCACGAAAAACCTATTGCGCTCGTCAATGCAAACCTGACGGAATCAGATCGTATGTAATGTGATGTTGACGGCGCCCCCCCCCTGTGTCCATACTATTAACCACACTTCAACACCGATGGACGAAATGCCCTTGTTTTTTCTTCTGGGTAGCGAAACTGGTGCAAACGAGAGCTTGGCGAACACGTACCTGTGATCACTTGCATGTCAAGGGATAAGCACATCTACTGCCGCCCCGGCAATATCCTCATCGATGACAGGTGCGACGTGGAGCCCGAGTTTGCATTTGGCGAAGGCCGTGTTGGGGATTTTGCCTGCCGGCAATCAGTGCGTGGCTCAACGTGCAATAGAGCTAACGGGACATTTGTCGAAGTATCATGACGTACGCTAGCGAACAATGGGCATGTGATCCACACGCTCGCCAGAGCGAACGGCTCGTTTCTCGAAGCATCGCTTTATATGCTAACGAACAATGGGCATGTGATTCACACGCTTGTCTTCCCCCGCCGGTGCCACTCTTAATAATTGCTGCCAGAGAGTCGCTGGAGGCTGCCTGGCAGCGAGCTGGGGGTGTCTTCATTCATCACACCGCTGCGACCTCGTCCTTGGAGAAGTTGAAGGTAATCCTGCCAGCTGAGGAAGAGACTGCCAGCGGTGATCAAGGAAAGGTCAAGCGCCAGAAGAAAGGATAGCTTCAAAGTGCGCTTTCTCAGGGGGCAGGATGGGGAATGGTTGTGTCTGTTTTGTATATTGGGCGATCGGCTACGTACGTATCGAATGTTGGTTGTTGCTCGCTGTTTTCTCGCGTTCTCTTGTGTGTTCTCATATGTTGCGCGTCATTGGGGTGTTGGCCTCGCAGTGTTTTTTTTCGCCCAGTTTACACGCGGATGTCAGTCACTAGCATTTCCTGGAAATTTTCGACAGTAGTTCCCACGAGAGAAGCAGGTCGCTGCTTTGCACGTAGTCCCCTCTGGTGGAGATGTTTTCGGCTACGGATCGTTCTTCTTCACTGAACTCTTCTGCACGGCAAAAGAAAAATGGAGGGAGGAGATATGCGGCGGACTTAATCGAAGTCCGAAAGTAAGTGCCGCTGCGTCTCGTTCCCCTCCCGCAGTTCAATCAGCGTCCTGGTGTGATTTTCAACGAGCATGGACGGATATCCCCTGCATCAAAGGGACACGTGGCCTACTTGCCTTGTATCTGCTTGCGCCACGATTTGGCACGGCACAGCAACAGTTGCTGAAAACCTGACACACACACCCGAAGTAAAGCACAATAACGAGCCTGAATTGAACTTTGCCTTGTACAAGATGTAGCTGACTGTTTGTTCGCAACCGCCAACGCATGTCAGCTACAGATCGCGGCTACCGTTACAACTCGGTACAAAGATTTCTGTGCGGCCTCCGCTCTACTGCATATAGTGAGCCCTCCGCCATCAAACTTCATCCAAACCCCAGAACAACAATGAGATTGCTGAAGCACACGTAACGTTGCATCTATCATGGGGGCGTGTTGGAAAACAGCGCATTATTACTGCTGTAGGATGTGCGTAGTAGAATAGATGCAGCTGTATGATTGTTGCATGATAGTAGAACTTTAGGACTAACGCGTTCTGATTGGTCGGGCGTTGTTCGGCGTTGGTTCTGGCGGCCTATTCCTCTCCAGCGCCCTCTCCCCGTTCCGCATTCCGAGCACGCGGCGCAGCCGCGTGCCGCCCAGTTCGCGGCCGCTAGGCCGTGCTTTGGCCGTGGGTGAGGGTTAGGGTTAGGGTAGATGTGGGGTGAGCAACCTGACCTTGCTCGCGTGAAGAACCTAGCCTTGCTACGTTCAACATCGGTTAGTCCCGAAGAGTTACTATTATATATCACGTGTAACCAAGGCTCTGAACCACGCTCCCTGTCTTTCCAGCTAGTGTGCAGTCGTCCACGTACGTACACACATTGTATCGCATATGTCGGTCCAGCACCGTACTTATACCCCGCACGGGTCGCTCAGTAGAGCAGTAAACCCAATATCTTTGATTCCTTTGGTAAATGCATTGCCGAAGTTCCGAGGGCTCTGCTTCAATCCGTATAGTCTAGTCTAAGTTTTTATTGAGCTTCATCACCAGCGCTAGTCCCGTAACCTCATCCGTTATTTCGTATCCTTTCGCTTGACGAACATACACTTCTTCTTCCACGTTGCTTTGAAGAAATGCAGTCACCACGTTCGTCGTTTCCACAACGTATCCTCGTTCCGCCGCAATCGCCATTAAAACCAGCTGTGAGCTAAATCGACTCACAGGTGCGTAGGTCCCCCCACAGTCGACCCCATGCCGTTATCCCCAGCCTTGGACGATGAGTCTTGCCTTCATAACTCCGGTTGCTATCATTTTGTATAACCACCTTGATCCAATAGGTTAAGCTCCAGGAGGTAGACCCTATATTAGAACTAGATCCGCCACATCATGAGTTCTTAGGCTCCTCATCTCCTTGTCCATAGCTGATTGCCATTGATCGGCATCCGTAGACCTCATGACTTCTTGAAATGTAGATGGTACAGATATAGATGCTGGGGGCCGGACAGGTTCTCCAGCTGATGGAGTCTTGATTCTTATTTCTTGGTGTTGGTGTTGGTCTTGGTCGACGAAAGTCGCTAGTTTGTTCCATGGTGATAGCCTCCATAGCTCCGCTTGCTACCTGTTGGTTGTTACTTGTTGATTATCCATATTCCTTCCGCTGCTTCGCAAGTTCACGCGAGTTGTAGTTCCTTCTTCTCCTTCTTGTTCTTGTTCTTGTTCTTCTTATAATGGTAGTCCTGCTCATATTTCGAATTATCTTTCACTTCCTCCTAGTTTCCGGGTATGACGACATCCGAAGAAACCGATAATTCGTCTTTCGGTTCGTGGTGGCGTAGTTCCTCAATGGTCGGTATGACCGGCGGCATGGCCGCGTCCATTGGTTCGATCAAAGTATGAAAGTCGCGTTTCTCGACGGAAAGGTGCGCTTGGTGTGCGGATTATAAATCCGATAAGCATTGCTGTTGGGGCTGTACCCAACCAGTGTTTCGGGCCAAGCTCTGTTGTCAAGCGTGGACTTGTACGTTCCGACGTGTACGAACGATGACGATCCGATAACCCGTAGATGTCGTAGCGAAGCTTGGTTCCCAAACATCTGGTAATAGTAAGGCGTCTCGTTGTCCAGATGCACATGCGGCAGGCGATTCGTGATGTGTACCGTTGTGCAGCACAACTCGCCCCATAGATACCCCGGTAGTTGTCCGCCATGCATTAAACATCGAACGACGTTCATTAGCGTCCGTCCAGCACGGTCGCTTGTCCCATTTCGTTGCGGTGTTGCCGGTGCCGTACATTCTTGGACGATTCCAATTGTTCTGCAGAACTTCTAGTAGTACTCAGCTGTGTACTCTCCTCCACAGTCACTTTGAAGTCGCTCCAGCCGAAAACCATTCGGTATGACGATGTCGTCAACAAATCTTTCCAGCGGGTCGATAGTTTCGTCCTTGGTCCGTATCCGGTACGCCACATTTACTCTGGAATATTCATTCGTGAGTTTGCTGACATGGTTGAATCCGCCCTTTGCAGGTGGCGAGATTGGCCCCAGCAGATCCGTGTACACCCGTTGACATGGTTGAACGGCAGTGTGCTGTGCCGTTTTGGGGTGCTCCCTTTGGGTGCTCTTCTGAAGTTTGCAGGTCTCGCACGGGTCCAAGTTGTCCGTGAGCTTAACTTCAGTTTCTTCAATGCGCGCAGCTGCCTCGATGATGCCCTTGTGGCAAAGCGCCAAACGCCGATGCCAAAGGTTGTAGAGCTCCGCGCCTGGAGTAGCAACGTATGATTTCTCGTACGTGTTCTTATTTTCCTCAGGCGGGTTCCGAGCTAAAGACGAATCACCTTTCCCACCTCGGAGAAGAAAAAAAAAAAAAAAATGACTTCGCAGATCGTTCTCAAACGCCCAAAAACGACGTTTAAAAAAAGTTCCCAAAAAAAAAAAGTTCCCCTTCAGCCCGAACTTTTTTTTTCGCCGCATTGCCGAACTTTTTCGCCACGGGAATCGTCGCCAATCGATTCCGCTTGGTCGAATTAGGGGGGGTAGAGCCACTCAGAAAGTTGGTCAGACAAAAAGTGGTGGTGGGAAGCGGGCTTGAAAATGCTGCGCGGCCAGGGCCCAGCGGTGACTGCCGCTGGCGAATGTACACGCATCATGTATGCTGGCCAAACAAGATACGAGGTTATCCACAAGTGGTCCCCACACGAACGAGGAATCAAGCTTCGCACCACCTTGTTGGACAGCAAGAGGAAGGGCAGAAAAGCCGCGGAGAACACAGGCTACTGCGAGGCTAGCGAAGTGGTTTTGTCCAACTTGGCCCGCGAAAAGGCTGACGCCATCATGGCGGGCAAGCGAAACGCAGCTCGGAAGAACGGCATACCACAAGGCGGCGGAAGCGGGGGTTGCGGGGCAGACAGGGTTATGTCCTGCCCCGTCATCGCCGCCATCCAGGGTTCGCATGAGGGATTGAGGACACGTTCTTCTGCCACCACCAACCCGGCTGCTAATAACCCAGAGGTAAGCTGCGCGTCCGGTTGGGCAAGTACGATGTGTGGTACTGCTGTAGCACGGGTGCTGCTGCCTGCTGCCTGCTGCCTGCTGCTGCCTGCTGC